TGCACCAAGCCCCCCCAAACATAATGATTAAATATTCAACATCTGCAGTGCCATCTGCTTTTAAATCTCAATGTCATTTTCTGAAGTTTTTCTGGTAATCAGTGGAAATTGAAATCATGCAGGAGATGTGAAAGAAGATGAAAAAGAGGTCAGGGAGGGAGAGTCAGCGTGCAAAGAGGAATCGAAACCTGTGCTAAGTTTTTTCTTTCTTGAACTTCTGCAGTAAAATCTACCAGTAAAACACCAGCGACATTAAAATGTTCCCACATAGTCACATCCTCCTCTTTTCCAACCCACTCTTGGGAAAGGAAAAAGTTAAATCTTTCAGATGAGATTGAAAGAACTCAGCAAAATTTATTAATAATCACCTAATTCATAGGCCCTCAGGATAAACTCTGATTGACGTCAGTAGGAGATTTCTTTTGCAGACAGTTGTGAATCCATCTCCATGTCTGAGTGAGCTATTTTAGAGCATTGCCATTTTAAGATGGAGCTTCAGAGACCTTACCTCTGCTAAGAAACTGACACTGAGAATCTGAACCCCCAAATGCAAAGACTCCCTCCAGTCTGCATCTAAATGATGCTGCTTGAATTTCAGAAGGAGAAATAGGATGAGAGTTTGTCCCTGGAAATTTCTGTTTTGAGCAATTGTCAGTTTAAATGTGTAAGGATTGGTCAAAGTTGTGGAGGAGCCAAGAGTCCACTTACATACTTTCAAAAGCTATGTCCTCACATGAAGACTGAATTGAAGAGGGAAGCTGGTCAACTTCAGCCACAAAGCTTTTTATAAAATAACCTCTCAGCCTAGGATCACTGATAGCAAGGAACTAAAGGCCATTTAAGCTAGCTCAAGTTAAGGGAAAAGTTTAGGCTAAAATATGCAATGTCCCAGCCATATAAAGGTAAGAAATGAAATCAAGCCAAGCCACTTGGGGACACACAAGAACAGAAAAATCAGTTACATGATCATTCTGTGTTTCTAAAGCAAGATATTCTCCATCATCTCTGCTTCTTTTCCTCTTTGGTTTCATGCAGTTCCATATTCCTCTGCTTGTCCTGACATTTCTATGCAAATGTCCACTATCACCTAGATAGTCCCTGTGGTCTCCTAGTGGAATTTCTCAAGAAAAGTCTAATTAGCTCAGCTATCTCTGTGCCCTGGTGATTGTTATGTTAACATTTAACCCTAGCCAAGTCAGCTGGTGCTGAAGAACCGCTTCCTATAAAAAGGGGTATGAATGGGTACATGCTAGAGAAGGTGGTGCAGCTGGATGGGTGCTCCCCAAATATCTACTATCAGGAGTTTATGCAAATTAGTTAAAATTATTATATCCTGGATGGACCTGTGTATATGCATGCCCAAAATGTTAGCTGTTCTTCCCTTTTCTTCTAGATCAATAGGAAATATCTAACCAACTTTCAAATGACAGTGAAGTCACTTAAGAGTTTTCAGTATCCTGAAAAGGAAATGTATTTTTTTTTTAAAAACTGAATGTCTTCAACAGTCTTTCTGTTCTCAAAAAGCCTCTGGGTTTGTTTGTTCCTATTCCCTAATGAAGGTTTACACTTGTCTGACATGTTTCTGTTTAACACTCTTTCCCCTAAATCCAAAGTGGAAATTTTCCTATATACTACATTTCTAACAAGAATGTATTTGTATCTTGACAGAAAATGACAAGATTTCCAAAACATGATTTACTGTGACTCCAAGAAAACATTTTAAGAACCAGTGGAATAGTGGAAATCTTAAAGTTTGGTTCCCCTATTTTTCTATAGCTTTGATCTCAGATTTTAACTAATTTTCTCCAAATTTAGATTATTCATTTTATTTACTCACTTAAAATAATACAAATATTAGTTATTTTTTCTATCACTTAAAAATAATTATTGCAAAATTTATATATTCTGACCTCTGCTTACTACTGGAGAATTACAAAGGACATATCTGATTTATTTCTAGGAAGGACAAACTCTTTTCTTAATGGATTAAAGGAAGATCAAGGAAGGTTGACAAGGCAATGAAAAAATTAGATGTCCCACTTTTCATATGACATATTTTCTTTGATTTGCAATAGCTGGAAGATGGGGTTGCCTAATACCTTAGAATTTCCTTTTTTTAAGATTTATTTATTTATGCATACAAGAGCAGGGGTACAGGCCAGAAGCATGGGGGTGAGAGGATTCACCAGAGACAGAGTGGGGAACAGAACAGGCAGATTGACTAAAATATACTGCTGAGGGGAACAGCGGGCGAGTCAGGAGAGGTCTGCTGCGCCCTGTGGGTTGCTCCCTGGCTGGCCGGGAATCGAACTCCTCGTGCTGCAGTGGCTGTGGATAGCTTCATAGGTTGCTTCTTAACCCTTGCGCCACCAGGGAGGCCCCAGAATTTCTTAATCTATATAATTCTCATTTAAATGTTTGAGGCTTGTCAGGGTATAATTGTCACCAGTTATGAGTGCAATAAAACGTAATCGAGCAATGTATATGTGTGTTTTTAACCATTTGGACTTTTTCCTCAAAAAGTTCATGAAGTGAGATGAGGTGGGTAATGTGGCAAAATCTTTCTGTTAGTTTCTCTACAGTCAGAAGATGCTGCCCTGGTCAATCTCTTTTCACTAAGCTCTGGGCATGGAAAAACCTTGGCCTCACAGTGGAGCCTGCACCCACTGTGTGTCCCTTGGCTGTACAACCTGCTCCTGTTGCTTGACCATCCAAGGCAGTCGACACGCAAGCAGATATCAACTACTAAGCCATTTTTTTTTTTAAAAAATGAGCAGCAGGTTGAGATACACAGTTTCATTCATTATTTTATTCAGCCACTCACTCAATTAAGCAGCAAATGTTTATTTTAAAAGTATTTATGGAACACCCAGTTGTACCAAGCACTCTGCTAGGATTATGAATATGAAAGGAAATTAAAGTAATAAGGACTCTCCACAAACTTATGTAAGATCTTTGCATAAACTCAAATAATGTTCCTCTGAAGGAGTTATATGGAGCTGTAAGAATATATGAGGAGGACACAACTGAGATTGGGAATCATGGGATGCTTTTATGTGGAAATAACATTTAAGCAAAGAAATGAATGTAAAGTGAGAGTTAGTCAAGCTTAAAAATTGTGGGATGAGAAGAAAAAAATATTCAGGAACTGAAAATGCAGAGTTCCTGGTTGATAAAAAGTTTTGGGTAAAATGACTCAAAAAAAGACCAAGGGTGTAGGCAGGTCACTGAAGTCTGGGCTAACAAACCATGTTATATTTGCAGCCTGATGCTCAGTACAATAGAAAACAATTCACATGTTCTGAGCCAGAATGACATAATGTCATTTATTTTAAAAAATACCACTGGAGTGGAATGGAGAGGGTTAAGGGTGAAATTCTAGTAAGCCAACCTAAAGTTAGTGAGGTGATGGTGCACGAGCCCACTGGTGAAGGAAATTCTATGGGGACTATACCTGAGGTGAAGGAAGCAAACAGTGTTTAAAAATGAACAATGATGTAAAAAATATGTAAATAAGGAAAAAATAAAGAAAAAAAAGTAACTACCAGCTTAAAAAATATTAGAGTGGAGGCTGTGAAAGTAGGAAAGTGAATAGATGTAAGCCATCTTGAGAAGATGTATACTAGCTACCGGCAAGTACTAACCCATGATGTGTGGTTAAACAGTTGGTTGTATTGTAATGTAATTTGGTGGTGTGGGGAAGAAAGGATGGAGAGGGTGCTATGGACTGAATTGTGCCTCCCACCACTCAGTTCTTGTGTTGAAGTCCTAACCTCCATTAGAGGTGGAGACAGTGCCTTGTGAGCATGTAATAAAGGTTAAATGAAGTAATTGGAGGGGATCCTACTCTAATAAGGCTAGTGCCCTTTGAAGAAGGACTATACCATGTAAGGACCCAGCAGGTTCATGGACATCTAGGAAGAGAACCCTCAGAAGCCAAACTTGTTGAGATGTTCTTGGACTTCTAGACTCCAGAACTGTGGTATTTTATTACGGGAGCCTGTAGTTGAGATGGATTGGATTAATTGATAGAACAGGTCTGGGGCTCAGAGTGAGCAAAGATGCAGATAAAAGTCCAGATATTATTAGCATTAAAAGATTTGCAGTTACATATGTGAATGAGATCATCTAGAGCAAGTATGTAGATAGAAAAAAAGAGCAAGAACCAAATCCTGAGTACCCCTACAAATTGAGTTTTGTGTAGGAGGAGTCCAAATTGATTAGAGATTTGTTTTCAGAACTATGTGATCTTAGGGAGGTCTAGAAAAGAAAATATGTAAGTGGAATAATACTAGTCAATGGTTCTGAACATTGCTGGAATACTAAAAAATAAAGATCATCCATTAAATTTGGGAATACAAAGGTCATCAGTAACCATTGGGAGAACAGTTTGGATATAATAGCGTGGTAGAATCCATATTTGCGTGACTAAAGGTAAAGAAGTAGAGGCATCTCTCATAGATTTGATGTGTTTGTGATATTTGTCTGTGACAGGAAGCAGAGTAATAGGAGGGTAATTGAATCTAATATGTGTTAATGACTGCCCGGGGTGGATGAGGTCTAGGATGAGTCACGTTAGTTGCTCCTGTAGCTACTATCTTAGAAATTACATAATACAGTCTTTCACTATCTTCTCTTATAGAAGAAATTACTTTTAACATATTTATTTCAAGGTTAGGTTTTGGAGATGAACGTCATGGCTCTGGCAAGGGTTGTCTATACTTCCATTTCTTTGACTATGAAATTCTTTCATATACACTCAACAGTTTTGCTTGGCTCTCTGTGTTCTTACTTCCAGACCCCTAGAGCAGACTACTTGCTTCTTCAGCCCTTTGCCTATTTCCTGCATCCAGAATCTTGGATAAGGATCTTGGATTACCTTTAGTAACTTCTTGCTACCTATATCTAGACCTCGCTGAAGGCACTTGACTTCTTGCTCACTTACCTGGTATTAGTAGCTCTTGAACCACATGCTCTGATTTTCACTTTTTATAGTGTCCAGGCTGCCTGTGTGCTACACATACTGGTTGAAGAGCTCAAATCCTGTGGAATAAGATGTGTGGGTGTGATGACCATTGGCTCCCCCAGCAGGCATTAGTCCTTGCGCTTATTGAATTCTCTAAGTCAAGAGGCATTTCCTTAGGAAGATGGCTGTAAGTATTAAATTACATACTATCTGTAATGTTTACCAGGAGCAGAGAGTTCTGAGTGAATGGTGGCCACAATTCCTATATTCAATGATGACCTAAGTAAATTATCAGTTAGCTCATTTTCCTGTGATTTAGTACATATGAAGTCCAAATAGTTTTTTAGGGTAGTTTTAAATCAGTCTTACTTCTCCTCTTTAGAAATTGAACATTTTAGCAGTTGACACTATTTTAAATGGTAGTCTGCATTTCTGATTCTTTTGTGATTTAGCTCTTTTATTTTTTTTTTAAATAGGATAAAGAGTCTTCATAAATGGCTCATTTGGTCATTCAGTGACTTAATCTATGTGGCCTATCTGGACTCTCAAGGAATCTCATTCTCTAAAGTATAGGGGAGAATACTGATGAGCATTGAGGTCTCCCAGAAAGTTGCAAAAATGTCAGATTATAACCACCATAATCTTTTCCTACTCCCAGGGTCTACCCTAGTACTGAATAAATATTAGACTCATATGTCCAGTAGAAGCATAATAGAAGCATAATAGAAGTCATATATAGGATTATAAATTTTCTACTAGTCACATTTATTTACTTTTTTATAAATTTGTTTTTTAACAGCTTCATTGATATATAATTCACATACTATACAACTCACCTACTTAAAGTATACAATTCAGCGCTTTTTATTTTATTCTCAGAGTTTTTTAACCATCACTGTAATCAGTTTTTTATACGATTTGGTGATCCCATGCCAATTTGCATTCCCTCTCCTAATTCACCCAAGCTTGCATCCCCACTGTAAGAAATCATGAATCTATTTTTTATCTTTATACATGTAGTTATTCTGGATACTCTTTTGTTGGCTCTTTGTCGTCAGTCACACCAGATAACCTTTTGAATATGGCCACTGTCATTTAGCATAATGTTTCTGAGATTTGTGATTGTGATGAAGGTCAGTAGTTCATACCTTTTTATTCTATGTGTGGGACAGCATAGAGCTTTTCATTTCACCTGTAATGGATATTTGAGTCATTTCTTCTTTAGGTGGTTATGAATAAATTTGCTAAAGTCATTTTCATAAAGAATTTGATATGAATATAAATCTTAATTTCCTTTTGATAATACCTAAAAGTAGGAATGGTGGATCATAAGGAAAGTGTTATATTTGATCTCATGACAAATTTTCAAACTGTTTCCCAAATGGCCACACCGTGTTCTGTTCTTACCAGCAGGGTGTGAGGTTCAGGTGCTTTGCTTGGTTGGTGTTGGCACTTGGGATGGTGAGTTCTTCTCACATCCAGTTATTCCAGTGAATACACATTTTTAAAAGTTTAAAAGGGAAAATTTAATCTCAGTAATATACTTTATTTAATCCAATAGTTTATCTTTTTTGATGTGTAATAGATAGAAAAATGAACACTATAGTTAGATCAACAATATTCTTTTTCCAACATTGGAAATCTGGTGTGTACCTAACATGGACAGCACATCTCAATGCAAATGGTAAAATCCTTACAGTTTAAGGAAAGTAGGACCCTATTGAAATGGTAAAGTTGTACTTAATTTGAAATATTTCATAACGTTATTTTTTAAATTTAACTTGACATATGCTAAAAAGAAACAAAATAGAAATTCAGTCTTCCAGGAGCACTAACCATGTTTCAAATGCCTAATAGTGAACATGAGTGGTGCTGCTCTGTTGGAGAGAGGAAGAGATACTTCCCTTTCGCTCCCATGCTTGGTTCTTGAGGGCTCCCCATTCTTTAAGCCATAGAGCAGTGCAGGAGTATAGACCTGTACTAGATTGAGCCATCTTTACTCCTCCCCCATGTTGAATTAAATGCCTTTATTTGGTGATCCCATAATACACAGTGCTTATCCCTTTGAAAGCATTTATGTCTGTCTCTATGCTCTAATAATGGATTTCATTTTTATTCTTCTTGACTTACTTTAAGCTCCTTTAGGACAAAAATTGTCCTTATTTTACCTGTGGCTCACCAGCAGGTGTACTGCAGTAGGTGCCCAATAAATATGTATTGAAAAAATAAACCAAATTTCAATATATATTGTATTGAACTGATAAGATAATATTTTGTCAAAACTAATAGTTTCCATTGGCATATATGTATATGCTTTGTTCAGTTTAGGATGGTCTTATCTATATTCAGAGTTGAAAATAGCACTTTGTTGAATTTTATTGGTATTAAGAAAAGACTGTCTTCAACAGCTGCTTATAGCCCATAAAATCACTTTGTAGTCCAGAAAAAAGGTGTTCTCAATGATAGCAGGGTCTATGCTGAAGGTATTCCATCCTGTCAGTTGAGACTAGGAGGTATATTTCTGCCTTATGGTAAGGCTCAGACTTAGTGATATAAACAGAGAAAAGAAAGCTCCAGGGAAATTAATTCACAAAACTGATAGGTGAAGCAGAGTGTAGTGAAGAGAAAAGGACTAGAAGTCAGTCCAGTACCCAGAGAGAAAAGAAGGAAAGAGAGACAGAGGAGGGAGAGTGTGGGAGGGAGGGAGAGAAGGAGAAATCAGAGTGACGGAAGTGGGAAAACATTGCTCAAAATCATGGAGCATATAAGCTACCAAGTAAGAAGTAGAGGAGAAGAAAGAGGAGGTAAAGCTGGAGGATGAAAGGAAGGAAACAAAGGAAGAAAAATATTATCTCACTTTCTAATATATGTTTTTAATTGTATATATATGATCATTGCTCATTTTTGTACAATGTTTGATTTCTCCTCTCAGGTTTACCGCTGTAATATTCTGACCACCAGGTCACCTGCGAACCATCACCATAGTCTCTTGTGCTCTTCCCACCCCTCTCCCTCCCCACCTCTTGCTGTATGTCTCAGATCTATATTTGCCTGCTAATTTTGTCTTTTTTTTCCTGATTGTTTCCCCTATATTTGTCCTATGAGTGAAACCATCGATATTTTTCTTTTTCCTTCTGACTTATTTCACTGAGCATAATCCCTTCTAGCTCCATCCATGTTGCTACAAATGGCATGAGTTTATCCCTTTTGATTGCTGAATAGAATTCCATTATATATATATATATATATATATATATATATATAAAACATATAAGGAAGAAAAAATTTTAAAAGATTGAGGAAACCATTTCTACAAGTAATAATCCATTCCAGAAGCTCAAGTTTTACAGAGATGTTGGGGATCATGTTATGAAAAAATTCCAGAAAGTAGGCAGATTTCTTGTCTTACTGTTAGCTTACAAAGACCCACTGATAGACATTGTTACTGCAAGACAGCTCTTTCTGAGAGTAAGAAAGTGAAAAAGAGTGAAAAGGCCACATCAACTCTCAAGACCAAAGGGTGTCAGGAATAGCAAATGATGAGAAGCTTGACTGAAAGAGACAACACATGAGGCATAGACAACAATGAAATCTGCTTTAAAAGTCATCTTTGTAGATTTGACTGATATATTTTATACCAAAGAGGCAACTGAGTAAGAATCACAATCATGCTTCTGCTGTGGGCCAGTGTCTCACTAGTCCAGCCAGCAAGAAAGCAAGGTCTATGGAGCAGACAGGAGGCTTAGTATGACCGCTAGATAAGGAGAGTGCTAGCTGAATGGGCAGCATGATAACTGACACACTCCTGGCAATGTCTTGAGCAAAGCAGGACATATAACTGCCCTAATTGTATTAACATTTGAGGTAGGGCCTCCACTGATGGCGCAGGCAGTTGAGCGCAGTGCTGTGAAGCTGTCCATAGCCTCTGCAGTGCCAGTTCGATCACGGCAGACCTCTCCTGCTGCACCGCTGCTCTCCTCAGCAGTGTATTTTGTCAGTCTGCCTGTTCTGTTCCCCTCTCTGTCTCTGGTGAATCCTCTTACCCTCCCGTGCATCTGGCCTGTACCCTGGTTCTTGTATAAATAAATAAATAAATAAATAAACAGGCAAATAAATAAATAAATAAATAATTCTTAAAAAAAAAAAAGACCTGGTTTCTTTAAAAAAAATTATTTCAGGTAGATCATGTCCTCTCTTTCCCCCAATTCATATACTGAAGCCTTACTCTCCAAATTAACTGTATTTGAAAATAGAATATTTAAGGGGAGATATTTAAGGTCAAATGAGGCTATAAAGTTGAAGCCCTGCTTTAATAAAAGGGGTTTTCTTATGAAAAGATGAAGAGAAACCATAGATCTTTCTCTCTCTCTTTCTCTCCAGGTGTGCCCGGAGGAAAATTTGTATATAGGAAGACACAATGAGAAGGAACTTTCTACAAGTCAGGAAGAGAGGTCTCACCAGAAAAAAAAAAAACTTAGCACCTTGACTTTGGACTTCTGATCCCAAGAACTGTGAGTAAATAAATTTCTGATACTTAAGTCACCCAGTCTATGGCATCCTGTGAGGGCAGCCTGAGCTCACACATCCATCAAATCTAAATCTTCACTTCTCGACTAGAACCCCAAATGCGGGTCGGGGTGAGGTGTTGCCTGCTCCCTGGCACACTCCAGTTTCACAGGGACAGCAATGAAATGGTGGTATGATTGAAATCAAAATATCTTAAAGGTAAGTGCCTGAAGCAGGCATTCTGCTTCTGTTCAGATGATGCTCTTTTCAAAGGGGGTAGGAGCAGACCTAAGCAGACATTCTTAGGATAAAGTCATGACTATGCAGGTCAAAGGTATTTTCTGCAAATGTCAGGAATTGGAAAGAAGTATACAGATAAAGTCAGTGGCAAACTGATTTCGTTCAAGCCAAAGGCCAGCTTTTTTGGAAAAGAAAAGGCTGTGTGTTTTTGCTTGGATAATACCATCTGTTCCTATAACACTTGTTAGTTGTGTTCTCTATACTAAGGAAGCAGACACAAATGAGTAAGGTATAATCCCTCTCTTTAAATAAGTTAAGATACTTTGGCCTAACAGAATATCATAGAACTATTCAAAATGATGTGTTGATATGAAAAAAATCCATATTGGTATTAAAAAGTTGTTTAATTTATTAAAACAATATCCATATTGGTATATTGAAAAGTAAACCCCAGACCAATTATATGCTATTTCAGGTATGTAAATGTTTACAGAAATCTAAATATTATAAATATAAATGCATATGCACAGAAAATTTCTGGTTGCATGTACATGAATTTATTACTGATTACTTCTGGAAGGTAGAACTGGGGCTGGAGGGAGGGAGGAGAGAGAGATTTAATTTCATTAAATTTGGTTTCTAGTTGCTCTATGAGAAAGTAATGAATTCACAGTGCAGTTAGAGAAGAGACAAGCAAAAATGAGTACAATAAAACATTCTAGGTGCTAAGTAGAAATATGTGTGGCATTAAACAAGCATGTAAAGAAGGGAATATTCAGCTTTATATAGAATGGTCAAAAATGACTTTAAGTAGAAATAATGCAGAAGCTAAATGTTGAGAACTGGGAGATTAAAAAAAAGGCAGCAGGAAAGTCAAACATCAGTGAGAGACGACCAGAGTTCATGGAATGTTTGAGAATCTGCAGGTGGCCCTCAATAACCCTTCCCATTAGCTGATTATTAGCACTGCAGGGAGATATGGCCATGGATAAATTGATAGTGAGGTAATCATACAATTTTTTAGAAATCTAATACAGAACTAGGTACATAGAAAATCTATTTTCTGCAACTCTAAATTCAAAATGGGTGAACTTATGCATTACTAACTGCACACTCTAAATATATTTGAAATATCCTTTTTGATGATTTGTGAGTGGCATGATGTAATAGAAAATGTGACTTCCATTTTCATGTTTGCTAGGCTCTGATCTGTTCACTAATTCTATGATTTTATCTAAGACATATTAGGGTAACAAAATGTATGATGTTTTAGGGACTAACTTCAGGCCCATGCATTTCTAATTTGACTCTTACAGTACATTTCTCAACTGTCTAATTAAAAACAATAATCACCGTGTAGTGAGAAAGGACCTTTATTTTCAGAGCCAAAGATGAGGAGGAGGCCAGAGGAAGTACACTGATGCAGACAGAGTTCTCATCAGTTGCTTCCCATCCTTCCAAAAGTAGAATTCCGTTTATATATTGTGGTGACAGATGAGCATGGATACAATATAAAATCACTTTAATGTAACAAAATGTTTGTTCCAAATGTGGGGATGTGGTAATATCCTAACATAATTGTGTAGAGGGAAATATACAGTTTGCATTCAGAGGATCATTATCTCTGCAGGTAGATGCAATCTATGAGTGAGAAATGCAAGAACTAGGATATGAAATGTATCATAAAGAGTGTCTGTATGTGTCTTGTGGGCATGTGGGTATGTGGGTGTGGTAATGTTAACCATAACCTGGGGTTTGGGGGCGCTAGAATAAATAATAGTTGGCAAAAGTTCAGGGTCTTCACAGCCACGTCTTTCAGGATTCATTACAGCTGACTCAGAAAATCTGTGCAAGATCTTCTGTGTCCAAAAGTAGTTTTTTTTTCACCATTTTATGAATGAGGAAAGGAAAGAGAGGCATTCGATCATCATAGGTAGGGAGAAGAACTAGGATGTGACGCTGGGTCTCTGAGGCTTCAGATTCCGCTTGTATCCCAAGTCAGGTATTGTCAGTAAAAGGAGACAACACAAACCTGCTTTGTAGAATTAAGAAGGCTACGGATAGTGCGGGTCATTTTCACATGTGAACTTTGTAAATGTCAGTGATTCTTCAAATTCTCGTTTATGTGAGTCATAGTAAGTTCAAGCAGAAAAAAAAAAAAAAAAAAAAACCTAGGGCCTCCCTGGTGGCGCAAGGGGTTAAGTACCTCACTATGAAGCAGTCCACAGCCTCTACAGCATGAGTTTGATCCCCGGCCAGCCAGGGAGAGACCCACATGGTGAGGCAGACCTCTCCTGCCTCGCCCGCTGCTCCCCTCGGCAGTGTACTTCAGTCAATCTGCCTGTTCTGTTTCCCACTCTGTCTCTGGTGGATCCTATCACTCCCCCATATCTCTAACCTGTGCCCCAGCTCTTGTATGTATGAATAAATAAATCTTAAAAAAAAAGAAAACAAAAAAACCCTAGTATTTTGGAATTTATAGTATACTTACAGATTTCCGGATAGACTGGACATTGAAATGCAGACTGTGGATACAATCAGGACTAAGAAAACCATATATACTGAAACAGATTTTCAAGAAAGAAAAATAGGTGGAAGCACCCATTTAAACACTTACCAATAGGGCCTCCTCTGGTGGCGCAACGGTTGAGCGCTGGGCTGCGAAGCTTCTTGCAGCCTCTGCAGCGCTGGTTCGATCCCGATCCCCGGCGAGGGTCCCACATGGTGCCACAAACCTCTCCTGCCACGCCTGCTGCTCCCCTCAGCAGTGTATTTCGTCAGTCTGCCTGTTCTGTTCCCCGCTCTGGTTCTGGTGAATCCTCTCACCCTCCTGTGCTTCTGACTGTACCCAGTGCTTGTATAAATAAATAAATAAATCTTAAAAAAAAATAAACACTTACCAATAATGGGGAGGTTCTAATGTTCAGATGGCAGATTTTACCCACTGCTCACTTTGTGTGAAATAGGGATGATCTGAGGATTCCATTAGGAATTTTATCTATTATTATTTTTTAAAGATTTATTTATTTTTGCATACAAGAACTGGGGTACTGGTCAGAGGTAGGGGTGCTGGGTGAGAGGATTCACCAGAGACTGGGGAGCAGAACAGGCAGACAGACTGAAATACACTGCTGAGGGGAGCAGCAGGAGAGTCAGGAGAGGTCTGCTGCACCGTGTGTGTAGCTTCCTGGCCGCCCAGAGATCAAACTTGTGCTGTAGTAGCTGTGGATAGCTTCACAGTGCTGTGCTTAACCCCATGCACCACCAGGGAGGCCCTCCATTAGCAATTTTAATCAGCTCAACAAGGAGTTACTGTATGGCCTTTTAAAAATATTTTTTTAAACCTGTCTTTTGTGACAACATGAATGGAATTGGAAGGGCTTATTAAATGAAATAAGCAACAGGGAGAAAGACAAATACTGGATGATTTCACTAATGTGTGGAATATAGAGAAACAAAACAAAGGAACAGACAAAACCAAAACAAAATCTAGAAATGACTACAGAATTGAGGCCACTGGCTGTGATGGGGAAGACAGCAGGAAGAGACCAAGTCAGGAGGGGGACACAGAGTGACATGATAAAGGGAAATGGGTACTCTAGGGTGAGTGGAGTGGACTAATGCCCATTTGAGGAAAAATAAACCTATTCCTCTGAATCATATACGGTGATGTAAACCAATGTTACCGCAAGTAAGTAAATTTTGAAAAGGCAGTTTTAACTGTTAAATACAGATAAATCCTCAAGTTTCAATGATTTAAAAATAAATAATTGTTTAATATAAGAAAATGAATTGTTTTGTTAGACTCAGTATTTCTTTCATGAGCTCCCCTCATACTAGACAGTTTCTTCTTCGTATTTTCCTCTTTGTCATTGCCAGTTCTGTTTTGAGCAAACTCCATGAACATTTAATGTGAAAGCAAAAAACTGATAGCAATTTGTCCTGTGCATTTTTAATAACAAGTAACTATTAGCATTGCTGTCTCTATTAGACTTCAGAAATAGAGAAAACTGAATTGATGTATTGTACTTTACATCAAGAGAGTTCAAAGAATTGTGGTGGTTAAGGAAGGTTCCACGGCACTTGAGTATGTCCTCTGGTTCAGTCAACACACTTGTTCAAACTGGCAGAAAGGGGAGCAGGGGCAGGATACTGAAGGGTCCTATCTCCTTCCAGCTGCTCCTGGTAGCTCTGGCACTGGCAGACCTCCCTTTGAGAACCCTAATCTGTGGGCCTACCCCTGCCAGTTGCCACCCACAGATTCCCTGACAAGCCAAACAGAAAAATCAAGCTTTCAATTTTTTGTTTTGTTCAAGGCAAAAGAATAATCCTGGTTTCACTTCCTATATAATTTCGAATTGAGTGGGCCCTGTCAATTAAAGATGTGTGTCCTTCTTAATAGCTTCTGAACATGCTCATAATGTTTGAACACAAAATTAGAATGTTTAATTAAAGTTAGACCAAAGGACTCCTTCACCTCCCACTGTTTATTTTGTGTATGTGCCTTTTCATAATGTGTTTTGTTTTGTAGTTCCCATGTGTCTGCTAGAAATCAGCATCACAAGTCTGTTTCTCATCCAGAATTAATCATTAAAGTAGTCTAAGTGAACTCTTTTAATCAAATATTGATTATATATATGTATGTGCATATTTGAGTGTATATATGTATCAATATCTATATATAATGTTATATATATTATATATATACTTGTTTATATATATATATATATATATAGAGAGAGAGAGAGAGAGAGAGAGAGAGAGA